GGCCATTTTTTGGTTGCAGCCATCATTGTTGTTTGGCGGGCCCAGGTTGGGGATTCGAACCTGCCACCTTAGGTGTATGTGGCTGGCACCTTAGCCGCTTGAGCCACAGGCGCCGAGCCACTTCCTACTTTTTATACATTAGCAGGTACTTGAGGAAGGGGTAGCTTATGGGATTGCCTAGTTCTGTAGGTTTCCAGTGTAAGGAATTGTTCTCCAAGTTGCATTTTTCAGTTTTTTGTCCTCACCTCAGAACAGTGGTAAATACCAGGGTAACAAATGATTTCTGTGGCACATCCCCAGCGTGAGGATCAAATGTAATGGAGTGGCTTGGTGCCTATAGCTCAGCAGCTAGGGCGCCAGCCAGGGCCTGCCAAACAACAATGACAACTACAACCAAAAAATAGCCAGGCATTGTGGGGGGTGCCTATAGTCCCAGATACTTGGGAGGCTGAGGCAAGAGAAAAGAGTTTGAGGTTGCTGTGAGCTGTGATGCCACAATACTCTACCGAGGGTGACAAAAATGAGACTCTGTCTCAAAAAAAAAAAAACAAAAAACAAAACCAGATGTAATGTAGTAGAAGGAACTTCTATTCCCTTTAGCTGACAGATGAAAATCCATAGGTTTCAAAACTAGGAAGGAACAATAGAGCTTCATGGAGAAGAAGAGGAAAATCCAGGAAATCCTATTCTGTCTCTTAACCCTGGACTTAAAAGTGTTCCTAGATGGCTCTGATTGGGATATTTTTATTTCCACAGCCAGTGCTGGTTTCAGGGGTGCATAAAAAGCTCAAGTCTGAACTCTGGAAGCCAGAAGCCTTTAGCCAGGAATTTGGAGACCAGGATGTGGATTTGGTGAACTGCAGGAACTGTGCTATAATTTCTGATGTGAAAGTTCGGGATTTTTGGGATGGTTTCGAGATTATATGCAGTAAGTACCTTTGATATCTAGTTCAGGAATGGCAGACTGGGAAATAAGCACCTGTATACCCAGCCCTATTCCTTGAATAATAATTCTCTTTGTGAAAGGAACATTTTCTTCTGTGCTGACCAGGTAGTTTGTATGGCAGTCACATGACTTCCAGTGCACACTGATGCTTAAGCATGTGATTCCATGGGGCGTGTGGAGTGCTTTCATTCTAAGAGAGGGGGACAGAATCCTTATGAGATAGGAAAATCTGGCATATGCTAAAACAGTGGGTGAGGAAAACGAAGTTCACCTCATCCATTATGGTAGTTTATATTCTGAAATAAGAGGTTAGTATCATAAAACTTAGTCACGGCTGAAAAGTGGACAGCAGCCAAACCAGTGGATGTTTGTGAGAATATCATCTCTCTTCCAGAGCGACTAAGGTCAGAAGATGGGCAACCAATGGTGCTCAAACTCAAGGACTGGCCTCCTGGGGAAGATTTTCGAGACATGATGCCAACGAGGTTAGTGACCTACAGTGGTATCATTTCAGAGACTTGTGCTTGACTGAAGCCACCACAAAGTGAACTCTGGTTCTTTGTTTTCTTCCTCTAACAAGCTAAGTCATCTTTCCTGCCCTGTTGTAGGTTTGAAGATCTAATGGAGAACCTTCCTCTGCCAGAATATACCAAACGAGATGGCAGGCTCAATCTGGCTTCTAGGCTACCCAGCTACTTTGTAAGGCCTGATCTGGGCCCCAAGATGTACAACGCCTATGGTATGAGGAAGAGAGGCGAGAATGGCCTTTTGGGGAACTATTGTCATTTTACCTATACGGGGAGGTCTGTGGTCAGGGTGATGCATAGAAATGACCAGAGGCAGGAAGCAAGTGCTGAAGAAATAAATAGTATCCAGGATGGTTTAGAATATATTTGCTGGCTC